TGTGTGTGTGTGTGTGTGTGTGTGTGTGTGTTGGGTGGTGCTACTGGGGATTGAACCCAGAGTCTCATGAATGCTAAGCAAGCCCTACCACTGAGCTACATCCTCAGCCCTTTTTTATTATTTTGAGACAGGGTCTTGCTAAGTTGCCTGTGATGGCCTTATCTTACCATCCTCCTGCCTCAGCCTCCTGAGTAGCTAAGATCAAGGTATGCACAGCTGTGGCTGGCCTGATCTTGTTCTTATCCTTGGAAGTTATCTCTGTGACCTTCAAGGATTGACTCCTGGATGGGAATCAAATAACTCACTAGATTCCTTTCTCTAAAATGAGATAGGTAGGATCAGGGGATCTGAAGCATGACCTGTACAGGAATTGAGGGTAATGGGTCAGAAAGCTGCTTATTTCCTCTGACACATCCTGGGTCCTTCATATGTAGTTTATTGTGGAATTCAGCTTCCTTGAGGTTTCTGTGTTGGCCCAATTCTAATCCAAAGGTAGTGGACGTCTGTATGCCATCTCTCAACAGGATGCTTTCCAAAACTAGATCTGGGTTGGGTGCCAGGATTCCTGGGTACTGTTCTGGGAGAGTTTCTCTGCAGCCCCAGATGTTAATAAGGGATAGTGGGAGGAGGACAGCAAATAAGCCAATGTCAAGTTAGCCTCAGGTTATTTTGACTCTGGATATTCTTTTTCCATCCTGTTTTATTATGTAATCTCTTCCTTTTGGGAAAGGAAGGTGTTGAATGGGCTGGCAGCAACATGGGGAGTAAGGTGGGTGTAATGGACACAGCAACACACAGGTGTGTATTTTCTCAAAGAGCTTCTCCTTGATCCAGTTTCTGCAATAGCAGTGTACTCTTTTTTTGTTTTTGTTTTTTGGTACTGGGGATCGAACTCTGGACCTTGTGCTTGTGAGGCAGGCAGCAGAACCACTGAGCTAAATCCACGGCCAGTGTACTCTTGTCTTATCATCTTAGCCCTGCCGCTGTTCTTTACTGGTGAGTGAGAAGTTGCAAGCATCCCTGTGTATGCCTGGGCACTGAAAAAGTCCTTTTGTATGTTTGAGTGGTGAGTGGTGAGTCCCTCTTTGTGTTAGAGCTGAGTGGGCAGCACCAGTTTACATGGAAAATGAGAGGCCTTTCAGGCAAATGAGGGCTTTGTACCTGCTGTGAGGACTCAGGTCTTCTCTTCAGGGCAGGTTTGTGGGTTTTAAGCTGGAAAGAAGAGAGTAAAATCAACATTTAGGTAGAATCTGTGCTGTGGACCAACCCAGTGCCTTGGACAATAAGACAGATAATTGTTGGAAGTCATCATCAGATCATGTCTGAGCTTTCATGACTTTTTTTCTCAGGAGCAGTGGAGGTCTGATAGTTCTATTTCTGTTTCCTGTGGCAGGAACTCAGACAGGCCTATTTTATTGTGTGTGTGGCATGTTGTCCCTCAGTGGAAGTGAGCAAAGATCTGCCTGCCTCTCAGGTCTAAACCAGAGATTTACCACTTCCTGCCCTAAACTTGACTTTTTTTTTTTTTTTTTGGCCAGGCCACAGTAAATACAGGTGTGCAGGAACTATTTGCCATGGAAGCCAAGGAGATTGAGAGCCCTATGCCCACTGACCATCTCCTCCCTGGTACCAGCCAGCCCAAGGTGGAAGAAAATGTCAACTCGCCACCTGAAAGGTCCCCAGAAACTATGCAGCTAAAGAAGGAGATCTCCCTGCTGAATGGGGTTAGCTTGGTGGTGGGCAACATGATTGGCTCAGGGATTTTTGTCTCTCCGAAGGGGGTGCTACAATACACTGCCTCCTACGGGTTGTCACTGGTTGTGTGGGCCATTGGTGGACTCTTCTCTGTTGTGGGTGCCCTTTGTTATGCAGAGCTGGGGACCACCATCACCAAGTCAGGGGCCAGCTATGCTTATATTCTAGAGGCCTTTGGGGGCTTCATTGCCTTCATCCGCCTGTGGGCCTCCCTGCTAATTGTTGAGCCTACCAGTCAGGCCATCATCGCTATCACCTTTGCCAACTACATCATCCAGCCCTCCTTCCCCACCTGTGATCCCCCATACCTGGCCTTCCGTCTCCTCGCTGCTGCCTGTGTGTGTAAGTATGGGGGCTTACTGTGGGAAGATATGTGGGGTGCTGTCATAGCAATATGAGTGCCTTATAGTTGAATAACTTATTTTGCACTTTTGGAAGAGGGGAGGGCTCTTATCTTTCAAAGTAATTTCACCAAAGTCATTTGATCCTGAGAGTTGAGTAAACATAAAGGATGAGGGTGGGAAAAGTTTGTATCTCTTCATGACTTTTGGTCCCTTAACTCTGGACTGTCCCTGAATTCTGTTCCCCACTCTGTGAAGAGGTAGGCACATGTCTTATTCTTTTGTTCTGGTCTGGTATTTTGACTGGTGTTAGCATCACTAGTTGTAACTTAACCCAGAAAGGGATATCAGTGTCAAGGCCTTTATTATTTATTCCAAAAAAAGGGTTATTTTTACATCCCAGCTTTTCATCTTAAACCAGTTTGAAGGCATCTGTGAGCAAATAGGTTCCTAGACTGTGGGGTCCCTTATCTTCCAGCTTCCAGGACCCCTCCTTTCTGCCACTGCCACTCCATGGCCTGTTGTAAGCATTAGGCACCACACAAAATGGCTTTTTCCCATTGGTATTTCAAATTTCCTTACAATGACTTTGTAAACAAGCTATGCCCACAGCCAGTGTGAAGATCATGGCTTCAGCCCTACATTTAGGTTTCTGATGGCAGAGTTGAGAGATCCCAGTGGCTCCCTCTTTATCTTCCTCTCTTTTGGAGTGGTAAAGAGGGACTGTGTGTGAAATCACAGAAAGGAGAGAAGATTGCTGTGAACTTACCCAGCCTCACAGAGCTAGAGCTTTACCTCATCCAGAGTTCCCTGTGTTTCTTAGCACTGTGCTACCAGAAGCACTTAATTATACTATGTTCTCTTACCTCTGCTTGCAAAAGCTTTGGTTGTATATAATATACAAAATATTTGGTACATACTTCTTTCTTTTTTTTTTGGTACTGGGGATTGAACTTGAGACCTTGTGCTTGCAAGGCAGGCAGTGGCACCAATGAGCTAAATTCCCAGCCTGGTACATACTTAAATTTTAAAAATTTATTACATGGCCAGAGAGGTGGCTCAGCAGCACAGCACCTGCCTGGCAAATGTGAGGCCCTGAGTTCGATTCTCGGTACCAAAAAAAAATTATTACAGTAAAAGACATACTACCATTAATCCTCCTCAGAATATTCCCTGTTACTTTTTTTTTTCTTTTCTCTGTTACTTTGAACATATACCCTATCATTCTTGCCATTTTCTGAATCAGTTCTGAAAGTCCTCTTTTGTGTCTTTATGAGGTGTGATTAAAAAATATGGTAAATGCTGCTGCCAAGTGCTGTCCAAAGTAGGGGCAGTTCACAAAACCAGTTCCTTCTTAACTGACTGGGCTTTTTTTTTCCTGACTGAGATTTTTGTTTGGCTTATTTTCTTTTTGAAATTTAGGTCATAGAATCAAGATTTAAAAAGATCTGGGGTGTGCTGGAAGAGAGTCCCTTTGCATACGAATGGCAGTGAGAACAGCCTAATCTGGAGAAGCCTTATGTGGAAGAAACCAGTTAGGTCATAATTAGGGGGGGAAAAACCAAAGATCGGCAGTTAATCCATGATGAGGCTTGGGAAGGATGAAAGAATGAAGTTAGTCTGGAAATTGAGATGAAAGAATCGTTTGGTCTAACTGAATATAAGATACCTATATATTCTTCAGTTAGATGAGTTTTTAAAGGCAAACACTTTTTTTTGGTACCGGGGATCAAACTCAGGTCCTTACGCTTGCAAGGCAGGCAGTGGAACCACTGAGCTAAATCCTCAGGCCCAAACGCTGTTTTTTTTTTGGTATAGAGAATTGAATTCAGAGTCTCACACATGTAGCACATGCCAGCCTTGAGTTACACCTCCAGCCACAAATAAATCTTTATATTTATCCCTAGTACTTTCTCTGAGGCTTCAATCTGAGAAAGTACTTAAATATCTGTGAAAATAAATGAATTTACAGTATTTTTAAAGTTTAAAACTTTTTAATTGCATATAAAACTGTACATGTTTTTGAAGTGAATTAAAGGTACCTTAAAAGAGTGGTTCAACTTGTTGGTTGGAAGATTGCACAAAGAAGTTATAGCTATGCCAGGATAGATTAAAATTGCATTTAGAACAAAGGGCCCAGGAAGTCTCCATGTAATAAGTTCTAGGGCAGAGGCTGCAATTGGCCCACAGATGGATTTGTTAGGCCTGTGTGGTGTTTTAGTCTTTTTTTTGTCTTGTTTTGCAGGACTGGGAAATTGAACCCACTGCCCTGTGGATGGTAGGCAAGCACTCTACCACTGAGCTACATCCCAGTCCTCTGCATGGTGTTTTAAATAATTTTTAATTAGTTGTCAACATCTTAGAAATCAGGGTTTATCGTTTCTCTTGGAGAATCAAAAGTGGTGGCAACCTTGTACCTAATTTCCTGCCTGTTGCGATCAGCTGGATTTCAGTAGCTGCTTGTCCTGTAAATTTCTCAGAGAAGTTGGGTGTGGTGGCCCATGCCTGTAATCCTAGCGCTCAGGAGGCAGAGGCAGGAGGATCAGCAAGAGTTCAAGGCCAGCCTGGGCTACATAGTGAGATCCTGTCTCCAAAACAACAACACACAAAAAAATTTTCCCAGAGAGATTTAAAAGAAACATCTGCTTCAGAATTGAGAGAGAGAGGGTACCAGTGGTCTGAAGAATGACTCAGAAGTCTAGCTTGGCAAGTAAATGAGTTTATTAGCGGTTACTTACATAGTGGTGTATGGCTTATGGGCTGTAGTACTACTGAAGTCACCAGCCCCCCTTTGCTAAGCTATTGCTTTATTTATTTATTTTTTGGTACCGGGGATCGAACTCAGGACCTTGTGCTTGCAAGGCAGGCCTGGTGCTAAGCTATTGCTTTTGTATGGTTTTAATTAAAACAGCAAAAACAGGATCAAAGACAAGAAGAATCCTTGGGAAAAATCATGTGTACTGTGTTTCCATTCCATCTTTATCAGGAACTCAGTGGCAGGAACTCAATGGATCTCAGCAAGCACTGTCAAGCCATAGTGGTGTGCTGCAGTCTGGCACCAGCCTCTCCACTATAAAATGGAGTTACTTTGTTATTTATTTTATTTATTTATTTATTTCAGTCTTTTTTTTTTTTTTTTTTGAGTTTTTTTTGAGACAGGTTCTTGCTGTGTAGTCTAGGCCAAACTGGCCTTGAACTGGTGGGGATCCTTTTGCTTCAGCCTCCTGAGTGCTGGGATTACAGGCTTGTGCCACCGTGCCAGGCTAAAATGGAGTTACTTCGAGTAGGGTTCAGAGGATCATTTGCCCTTTACTGTTGCTCCCTTTAAATGGATTATACTCTTCCCAGTCCATTACCATTACTTACCTCTGCTTCCTCTCATTTTATACCCAGACTTTCTTGCCTTTGCCTATTTGTATTACTTTATTGGCCCCTGAAGCATTGCTGCTTCAGATCTTGGCTGTCTGTACCCCAACCCACCCCATTCTCAGGTTACATAAGCAGGGAGTTTCAAGCAGCTATTTTGGGATTTCACGCTATCTTAGGTACTTATTATCCCACAGTATTTTTTTTTTTTTTTGGTACCAGGGATCAAACTCAGGTCCTTGCGCTTGCGCAGCAGACCACGAAACCACTGAGCTAAATCCCCGGCCTGTATCCCACAGTATTGGTTCTCAACTGGATGTGAGTTTGTCTTCCAGGAGACATTTGGCAATGTCTGGAGGTATTTTGGTTGATATACTACTGGGAGGTAGTGCTGTTGACATCTGGTGGGTACAGGCCAGGGGTACTGCTGAACATCTTGCCTGAACAAGACAGCCCAGCACAATAAAGACTTATCTGGCCCAAAATGTCAAAAGAGAGATTCTCTGTTCTAAAGATGTGCTCTTCATATGTATTCTGCAGTCTTGAAGTTTTCTCTGATGAAGTAGAGCCTCAGGCTGGCCAGTAAGGCAGTAAGAACTCGGTAAGGTTAGGGGTTTTACCTGCTTATAGGAAATGATGGTTCTTGAGGTACATAGGGTCTCCTCTTTGGCTAGGTGGCCAGCAGTATTTTTGGTAACCTGGGTGCCCAGTATTGTAAGAAAACAGTAAAACCTTGGTTTTCAAGAATAATTTGTTTCACTCATAATCGAAAGCACTTGGTTTGTTTGGGGTTTTTTTGAGACAGGGTCTTGCTGGCCTTGAACTCACTATGTAGCCTAGGCTGGCCTTGAACTTGAAGCAGTTTTCTTGCCTAAGCCTCCCAAGTGCTCAAGTGCTTGGATTATAGACATGCACCACCACACTTGCTGGGCTCCACAAGAGCAGTAAGGGAGGGAGAGACAGAGAGACAGTTACTAGTTGTGATGATGTGACATTTGGCGTATGTACTTACATGCCTGTATTGCAAGATATCGCTTGTTTCTCAAGTTAAAATTTCTTAGAAATGTTTCCTTGTCTTGCAGAACACTTCCAGACCAAGTTAAAATCAAAGGATTGACTGTACTTGATTTCACTGCAGATGGGTGATGTTTCTGGTTTAGGTGTTGACGACATCTTACCTTGAAGCTGTCACGCTGATATAATGGCGTTATGCAGCCCAGGGCCTACTCAGAGCTGAGATTCTGTCCTCCTGAGTGTTAGTTTGCTAGGGTTTACAATGAGGAGGAGAAGGAAGGGGAAGGAGCCTGCTAGAAATGAGATAGGAATGAAGAAACACCCAGTGATCCCTGACTATCTTTCCGTTGTCTCTTGCTGTCTTGGACACAGGCCTCATCAGAGTTCTGAGTAGAAAGGATATTATTCCCTATTTTGGTCAAGTGTTGGTATGGGTAGGTAGCTTTCATGTTCTGAGAGCAACCTAAGTCTAAAGGACTGAATCTTGGTCTTGCTCAAAGACTGTAACCATGTATACATAGTTTGATTGTTCTGATAACAAGACTAAATGTATTTGTGTGATTAAAAATAAGGAATACTTTTTTTTTTTTGGTGCTGGAGATTGAATCCAGGCCCTCATGT